AAGCTGGTTTTCTACACAACCTTCTGGGTTTAACCACATGGGTGCAACAACTGATGCAACCTACTTCAGAAAGAATTAGTGCCCAGATTTCTTTCTATAGACAAATTCGGCGAATTACACGTCATTACTGCTGGGCCAACCTGTTTACATGCAGGTGGTACATGTACATGTACACCCAGGTTACATTCCTCTTCCACCAACAAAGTGTCGTGACTTGCCAGTGTGTGCATGCACGTTCAAGTTAAGATGTGTGCCTGAGTGCAATGGCCCCGCAGGAACAGCGTCTCCTCAGATTTGTTTATAAGAACTTACTCCTTACAAGCCGTTACAATCTCTATCTTCCATTACCCCAATACCATGTAACCAAAAAAATCTCTCTTGCTAGCTACGTACCGTAATGCTTCATACAGATATTGGTAACACTACCACTGAGGTTCAGAACTTCAAGAAAAAGAGCACCAACTAAACAGGTAGCCATTACACCAGCATGGCGAGCATGTATACCCTACATGTAGCTAAATCTTAGAAAATCTACTCACGATTCTTCACTCTGATCCCGTAAAACAATTCTGAGAAGATGAAGCTGCTCATGACATAGTTCCTGCAGACAAAGACAATGTGTGTTTTGCTGGTGCGGGCTGCCTCTAGAGCACGATGAAGCTTTCTCTGTGGCATTGTACATGTAATCCTTTCCAACGTCTAGTTCTCATGCATTACATCGGTACATGTGTACACTTCCTTTGCCATGCTGGTACGCGAAAATACATCCTATGTGCACGTACTGTATCCAAACCTGTCAGTGGATTGCATTATAAGCAGAAACGTTTCCTCACACCTGCTGAGCAAAACTCTATGTCAAGAGTTCCAGTTTCAGTCATGTGACAGTCTTGCCCAAACACACAATATATGCAGGAAGTGATTTTCCAGATCAGTTTCCACGAAATTTGTTTTCTCTTCCAAACTTTTCAGGAACAAGTAGAAATGCTAATATTTCACGAGAGTTACTGCATTTACCACACACGGTTCCAATCCCACAGCTCTGGAAGATTTGGAAACGCAAGTAATACATGACCAAAACAAACAAATCACTGTTCTTGTTTGACAAAATGTCACGGTGCAGTTTTGCTGACGAAATTTTATGCGAAGGGCAATACTTTTTTTAATTTATGGCAACAACACGGAAACACATTTAACAATCATGTGTATATTCTTCCAAGTTTGAAAGTAAAATTCTCCACGAGGACTGTACTTGTACACGTACCTTCATCACACATAGTTGTAACATGACTGCTGCTCATAAACACACATGTATACACATACTCTTTTCCAATCGCTATGAAGAACAATAAGTTTCCACTCTTTGGAACCAGATTTCCATGCTCTTGCCACTGCTTGAAACTCATGTCACATTGCTACATGTACCTTCTACATGAGCAAGGAGCAGAAGTCCCAAGTGATACCGATGAAACTTGTGTGTCATGGAGGTCAACCAAAAATACTGTATAAGGAGAAGACACCTCAACTCCTACTCCAAGTCGGAAGTCCCAAGGTGACAGTTCTCACAGCAGAATCCTTGAAATTTTTGTGTCATCAAATAAGGTAGCAGAATTTAGGTACAGCATACAATGTAAATCCTGAGACTTTCTGAGAAAATCTGCTCTTGCAAAGGCATGTTAAAATTGGAGACTCCTTTGAAGACATAGAACTCTGACCAGCCGACTTCTTTGCTTTCCAAAACCAACTGTCTGCACCTGACTTATGTGCGTCATCTGTGATGGCATTTGCAAATAATGTAGTAAATACAGTGCACACGAACAGTACAGAGCATGGGGCCGCCCATGGCTGGATTAAACTTTCCTTAAGGTGCCTTCCTTATATACCAAGAAGAGGGATGGAGGAAATCGACTTAATCATTCATAGCTTGTGGTGAGTAATGAAGCAAGCCTGCTTGGCAAGCTTCAAGAGACTACATGTAGGCCATGATTACAATAGTTTTGCTTCTCATACCCAATATGTTTCTGACAGGTACATACATGTACATAAAAATGACAGTGAATATGCAGAATGTATGAACCGGCCTTTCGGTGACAGTCCCAAATCCTCTGATTTCAATGTGATTTTTAATCTGCTCTTTGCTTCAGTTCAGTTGTAAAACTGAAACATATTCCTCATTCTGACATTTTGTCTGGAAGCATCCAAATACATGTACAGTAAGATTTCAGAAAATGTCCAATGTCTGACTGCGATTTCACACTCTGGATTTTTGAAAAAACAGGGACTTCTTCTTATAATTTGTGTTTCATTTTCAAGTTGTAAAACAAATGAATGAAACTTAAGCAGATTACACAGACAGGTACTACTTGTCACAATGAACGGTACAACAGATAATCAGATGTTCCTAATTCTGTGGAGATGCATTGGACATGTTGGAGCAATATTTATATTGTATGTACATGTACATGTACATGTATAGGCATACTTCTTGATGAAAGTCCAATGGCTGGTCCAATGTACAATGTAATACATGTACTGTACATGTACGTTCAAAAGAGCAACTGGTAAATCCTTCAACTGTTCCTCAATTTTTAGAATCCTTGAGATAAAGAACAGTACCTGCAGTACCTAAATGGTAAAGCAACCCTGTGGGGGGGTTCTTTTGCCAGATTGAGCGCTACCTGTACACATGTATAGTCTGTATGTACATGTACCTCAGGAGTCCTGGAAATGACACACTGTCCCACTTCCTGATCCACTTTGAGAAATGCTGGATGACGTCTGAATGACAAGCCCAAATAATTACACATGTGCTTTTGTTGGCTGGATTACAAACGAGGTTCCCTAGTGCAATTACCGTATACACTAATTGCATGGCTGGCTTGGTGCAGAAACAAAACAAAACAGAAACAGGTGTCTTACAAGCACTACATGGGTGCATTGTGATTTTGAACTTTAAACCGTACATGTAAACTGGAGAGAAGCCACAGCACTCTTCCTGTACATGTCCAACAGAACTTAGCAAACAGTTCTAACCAAAACATACAATGTACATGTACATGGCTTGTGGTGATTTTATGATAAAAATTATACTGTATGGAAGCAATGTTTACACGTAGTCTATTTGAACATTGTTTCAATACTATACAGGTACATGCATAATGACCGGGCGTATGAGCGCAAGGATAAGAATATTTTGTGAAGCTTAATAGATGTGAAATATTTGCTTTACATATAATAGGACATGTACATGTATACATGCAATACCAGAAAAAATTCTGTGTACAAGTGGCCATCACAAGCGTACCGGTAGTTGACAGTTGAAATTGTGAATGAAGTTGGCAAGTTGTAAATTACACTTTTCCAGAGTACCATGCAAATTACAAGTTGAACTTACAATGTTGCGCACACATGTACATGAAGCTGTGCATTAATGTACTGTAGGCTTACTGGTACATGTAAATGTAAATGGTGTGTACGTGTGTATGTACATACTGTGCACCGGAAGATTGTACAAAAAAAGTTCTACTGGTTTCATGGTCAGTGGAAAATTTCTGGAATTGTTGAAAAAAATTATTGCTTAGTAAGTTACTAGAGGTCTGTCCCACTTGCACAGAGTAAGCCATCCATTCCATTTCCTCTTTTCATCATACTGAATGTGCATGTACCTGCAATCCTGATATGTCTTATTTTTGAGTTCCTCGCACCACAGCTTGCTTCCATAACACAGCGTGGGAAAATTAAACCCCATAGTTCTAGGGGTTCCTACACAACCCAACACACCTTTCCAATAAGCCTTTTGAAAGTTAAATTTGGATAAAATCTGGTACACTGACTTATCTGATTGTAAATAAAATATAACAATTCGAATTCCCCAGATGACAGACACTGTTGCTATACCTCGTGATTTGGGGCAAGCCTTTCCATGGCGACCAACATCTCTGGAGTAGACTGTTCTTTTGTACTCTTCTTATTCATTGAAAACAGTGTACTGTTGCAACGCGTCTCTTATGTAACTAGGGAAAAGATTGCCCCAAGTCACGAGTCACAGCAGTAATGTCTTTTAGTATGGAGAGTTTAATTTATGTTTATGTAAATTTAAAGAATTCAGTGTACCACATTTTATTGAAATTTAACTCGCAAAAGGCTTATTTTACCAGTTCATCAGATCAAGCATCATCTAGTTTTTTGCACCATTGTGGTAGACTGTCACAAATGCCTAGTTGTCATGGTTGTGTATTATAAACAGCTGCATGATAATCAGTTACCATGGTTACAATAGTTACCATGGTTAATCAGTTACCTGGGTTTCAAGCTAACCAGTCACATGATGTCCAGTCACATGATGGCTGCCTGTTTCTTTTTGGGACTATTAAGTGGTGGAACCAGGAATTTTTCTGGAGGGGGTTAGGCCTATCAGCTTTTTTGTCATCTTGTTGTGGACAAGCAAACAGATACAAAGGCAATGCATTACCCTGCACTTACGCATCTATGTAAGGGGGGGTTGACCCTAAAACTTCCCGTCTGGTTCAGCGCCTGCTACGAGTATTGAATCATGTGGTTTTCTTTGTGAACATGATTACTTGAAATGAATATTGTGTTTTATGGAATTCGAGTGGTACCTGCACACCTTTTTGTATCGGATCTTGTGAAATCGCATGGGGAAAAAAATCAGACATGATTAATTTTACCAGTCACCTGGTAAACAGATAGAATGGTCTGATTTTTCAGTGCACACCTCTGTGGCCTCAAATTGAATGACCCTGTTACACCTGGGTGGAGTAATTAAACTACGGGTACCAGACAAGGTCAAAATGTTTGTTCCCTACTGTAACCCCTTTCTAAGGTCAAGATACTGAGTATGCTCAGCCATATTATCATTAGCAAGGATGTTTATGGAATATGTACCAAAAGGCCACAAAATGGGACTAGTCCAAGTTTATTCTCAGATTAGAAAATACGACACAATTTAAGTTTACTCCACTGCCACTGCGAGTACTTCTTACCATATCTGACATTGTTCCACACTGACAGAATTTTCGTCTTCATCTTCTCTGCTGAGATGTCCTCCACCTCTTCCTCACTGTCTCGCTGCAAGACCTGCTCTGTCAGCATTGCATCATCAGATGCCGACCGCAGAAAGGGCCTGCCTTTGTCCACAGCTTCCTTGTGTTTCATGATGGAGGCCCGATCCGTTGAGTTGCTGCGGAAATGTTGGCTGTCGGACGGCGAGCCCTGCCGAGATCGGCTTTGGCTGTGTGTCCGGTGGGCTCGCTGATGGATCCCCGTCTCTTTCTCAATTTCCGAGGACGGAACTTCAGACGTGAGCCCTTTGCTGAGAGCCGGGTCACACTTCCCCTTACCATGATGTGGTCCTTTGGCAGTCGTAACCTCAGATTTGCTGGCAGAATTCATCACGTTGAGTGTTTTGAAATCCTTCCAGATCTTGCCAATACTGTTCAGTGAATGCCTTGCACTTTGATTTTGTTCATTCATCTGGCTTGAGTGGCTTGGGGCAGTGCGAGTGGATTGTGGTATTTCAGATAGTAGGTTACTTCTAGGCTTAATGTAGTCTTTCTTGCGGTGATCCTCACTCACGGGTCTTTTTGCTTGGGAAAAGGAATGCTTCGTGTACACATGATCATGGTATTTTTCGCGATGACGGTTTGCAGTTTCTTGACTTACACCGTCCACATCTTCGGTAGTTCTTCTGGTTTGCAGGGCAAGCTCGTCGTTGCTATCGTTCAACTCCGTTGGTATACGGGAGTCTTCCTCCTCATGATCGCGGCTCGCTGTATACTGCGGATGATTCGGTTGCTGCTTCGTCATGTTCGTACCGTATCGTCCACCAGCATCTCGGCTAACGCCGCCTTCGTGATTTTCCAGAGCTCTGACATCGGTTTGTTTACGAATTGCATAATTCCATGGCTGAGAATTCGGCTTTTCAATCAGATACTACCTAGTACCACCGAACATAGGTAAGGGTCCAGCAGACATGGCACATTGGCGGAAGAAGTGGCTCTCTACGGACCTTACATCATGATCACACATGTACAATAGGCCTACGTGCACACAACTCCAACTGTCACACGGTGGCAACCATATTGGATTAATCTTCCAAAATCTCGATCATGTGACGTCGGATATGGGTGCGCTATCTTCACGCATACACCTGCTGTACGTGTACTGTGGTCCGTCGTAGACCAGTACGTGCAGCGTACAACGCATACGGCAGAGGTTTCGCATTACATGTACATGTATGTAGCTTTTTAATGGTGCGCATGCATAGCATTTGGACACGCCCCCGTGCAAAAGAGGTGGATTGGAGCTTGAGCTTGAAGAGCGCTATCGCTGAACATTATTTTTCTCTTTATAGTTTATAACATGCCACGCCATGTTCCGTCGTCATCTGCTGTGTTTCCAAAACTTCACACTTTATCTACACAGGCACTGTTCAAGTGGAAAACCAAATGAAACAACCACCGCCCACTTACATGACTTATGTGATAAATCTGCAGTACAAAACAGTGTGTTGCCTGAAAGCACCTTTCCATGTGCCCGTCAACACTTGCGCTAAGCGTTGCGTATCCGTCAGAATCGCTCCCAGGGCGATTTTGACGACCGAACGCAACAGTTACGTTAATCAATGGAGTCGATTTCGCATGAACGCATGAACGCAACGCACCCGGCCCAAAAACGTTCATTGGACCAAACAAAACATTACACTGAAAAATAAATTAGGGTGGTTGGCCGGGTACAGTATATTTTTTTACTCTAAATATGGTCTGTATTTGGGGGGGGGGCACGTACCGGTATATTTGTAACAGGTACTGAGTCAGTGTCAGATTTATACTCTACACGTGCACATCAATATTACATATCAGCACTCTGAGTAGTAAAGGTTGTTGAAATACAAACACACAAGAGCTGTCCATCTCATGCAAAAGTAATAATAATAAAACAATACAATGTACAGGACGATGTACACAAAGTTAGGCTCGGGGCAAGTCACCATAAGTTTTTATATTTTATTGATTTGTCGAATAAAAAGATATAGGTTCCGCGTGATTTTCTAGGTTAGGTTGGGTAACTGGAAACACAGCTACTTTTTTGTTTGACCTTATGGAAAGGCGCCTAAAGTCAACTCAAAAGGGTCCATGCTGTGTATTTTTGCTCAGGCTATAACAGTCATCGAATTGCTTCAATTCTAATTATTTGTTTTTTAAAGTTTGTTATTTTGTTATCTTTGAAAATACGTGGGGAGCATGGAAAGGCGCCTAAAGTCAACTCAAAAGGGTCTATGCTATGTATTTTTGCTCAGGCTACAACAACCATCGAAATGCTTCAATTTTAATGTAATTTTTTAAAAAGGTGGTTATTTTGTTAACTTTGAAAACAGTGGGGAGCATGGGCGTAAATCCTGGAGAGATAGGCTACATGACTACCCCACACACCTTTTGACTAGGGAGACGGGCTGTTAAATAATTCCGGAACTTTTTTGTGACAGTGAGTAAAAAATTAAGGATGGTGAAGAACTGTTCCTACTTTACAACCAAAATTTATTCAGTAGCACTGAAAAATGAGGGTCAAGCAACAAAAAAAAAAAAAAAAAAAAGCATGCCGTTCTGATGTCAAATTCTGCAGTAATGTAATGTATATTAATTACATTTTATTTCCAGTTTAGACCAGGTGGACTCCCTGATCGTACTTCGTTAATCGGGCGGGAGTCCTATAAAGGGCAGAAAACAGGTCTAAAAATTTCGTAACTAAATTTTTCAACACCTGTACCCTTTTAAAGAAGCCAATTTCACGTCCGTAAATCTTATGCGTCCTTATTTCTAAAGCCGGTGTGTTAATTAAGAAATTCGACACATCACCACAACAACCAGAAAGAGGAAAATAAACTCGGAAGTAACGTTAATTCTTGTCATTGTTCTGTACTGTTTTCAGTCGTTCTCTGGTTAGACTTGATTCAAGTCGAGATATCTGTGACGACTTCATTCATGCTTTGGATACATATCGAGATCGCGTGCCGGTACATACTTCGCGCCCTCTTGTGTCCACTTATTACTATGAGTTAAGATAAGAAATCCCGACTTGAAGAATCTGACAACCGTTTGTACACAGCGAATGGGCTCATCTACTAGAAGTGGTAGCAGCCAATCATATTTCTGGACTTGTTTTTACGTCGTTCACACCTGCATTAAAATGAACGAGTCTACAAGTCTGACTACTTCGGTGAAAATTCCGTATACATCATGAGAGATGATATCGTTCAAATGCAATTGTGAATAACTGCACTACATATTACAGACGGGAGTCCGATTGGCCTTATCAGTCAAGTCGGACTACGTTGTACAATAAAGGCTTATCAAATGAGGGCGCCTTACAAGGGTTATACGAATAAAGGGTGCAGTGCCCCAATTCAAAGAAAATTGTCCACCAGGACGCGGCGCACAAAAAGGGACCTCCACAGATTCTTTCGAAAAGAGGGGTCTATTTGGGCCAAGAAATGGTGGGATTGTGTCAGTATGGACCGGGATCATATCTGTAGATTCAGGGGCACCCATCTAGGGGAAAATCAGTCAAAAATGTGATTGAAATATTTTTAGAAGAGCCCCAGGAAGATGAGGGATGTCATTTGAAAAATGGCCGCTTAGAAGACTTGGAAACATTGACTTTTGTGGTGGGGGGAGTTTGTTTTTGGCGGATAATTCAAAAATTCATTGGTTAACCTACTAAAAATTGAAAATCAAAAATGAAATCTGAAGGACCAAACAGCACATTGCTTTTTGTTTGAGAGGCCTCAGGGACTTCGGTTGTCTGCCATGGGGCTCCAACCTTGGTTGATTTTACACTATTTTCAATGGAGCTCGAATCGGTTCAGTGCACCCTCGAAAGGCCTGCAGGGTGCCCCCTTGCAAAAAGGCCAGAAATATGTCCGCTGAGCTCCTTAATAAAGGTTATAGAATCAAAATATTCTATATTAGAGGGTCCTGAGAGGCATGGAACTGGGGAATTGAAGAAATGTGGTACTGAACCTCTGGGCCGGACTCAGGGCTTCCAATTGTCAGCAATTCGGATGCAATCGGGTCCGAAAGTGGCACTATTTGAGCCATTTTGCAGAGGGATGCATTTTCAAAATAGCTACTTTCCCTGGCAGTGAAATTTCCTTCGTTTTAGGGGTGGTCTGCTTTGGGTGAGAATTTCTCAAAAAGTCATTGGTCAACAAACTAAAGATTGAAAGGAAAATGAAAGAGGACATGTGAAACATCATTTTCTGTGCAGTCTGAATACCTGTGAGAGTTTATTGTGTATTTTGAGTATTTTTAAAATATTTTTGAAGTATGGGGATTTGTCACTGCTGTCTGTGGGAATTTATTTGTAGTGGTTCACCCTTCAGGCCAGTAAATACTTGACCGAAAACTGCTTGTGCGGGCCTAATCACAATTTGTACGCACTCAAATTCTCTATGAAAAAGAGCAATTGTGGCCCATCAACTTGAAGATATGCAGAAAAGACAGGCTTAGGCAGGCATAGAGAATACTTGTTTCGTTTGATTGAGATTTGGAAGAAATCGGTGCCTGAAACCTGGCTATTTTTCGAGAAGTGTAGGCATCAATATTTCAAACAAACTGATGAGGGGCTTCACGACTGCATTTTAGGGGTGAGGTTCCGTGGAGATAAAAAATCTTCAAAAGTCATCGGTTAATGAATGGAAATTTGAAAAGAAAATGAAAAATAATTAACTGGGCTTTAATTTGAAGTGCGTGTCGAACGCCCAAGAAACTCGTGAGTAATTTTCCTGATTTTTTGAAGTTCGGGTATTTATCATTGTTGGCTGTGGAAGCCTATTCACTGGCCTGCAAACTGTGAGCTGCCGGTATAAACGATTAAACTGTCCCCCCTAATAAATGTGTCCCCGGACACTTTTACCGGATCGCACCCCGGTAAAAATGTCCGTGGGGATTTTGTCCCCCTGCCAAACAGTAGATTTGTCCTCCCCTGAGAAATATGTCTCCCCCCGTGCAACTTCACAAGTCTATCACCCAGACCCTGATTCCAACTGTTTTTGCGCAACATATAGACAGACACTGTGCTTTTCCTGAAATGCTCGTTACGTTAAAACACAGTGACTGGATGGGGGGGGGGCTATATTGGGGATTGAATACGTATAAACCAATAACTACAGTCCAACTAATGTTAGTAATGAAAGATTCACGTTTTCCTTGGCCCATGCAAGCTTGTGTGTCTATTGAATGATAGTCGTAAAATTGTATTTCCTTTAAGATGCCGTTTTCTCTGCCTCACAAGGACACTGATACTGCCGTATGGGAATGGTCCCCAGAAAGCGTGATTAAGTATTGGTTTCTACGCCTTCACTCCCCCAGAACGGAAATGGCCACATATGTAAAATCTGCTTCTCCAGTATCATAAAAGCAGAAAAATTGAATTCACGGTTGTCACATTCAATCCACTTTCCTGCATGTTTGACAGGTAAAAAAGCAGATGGCCGCACTTCTCGGCCGCCAGCAAAAAAAGAAACAGTAAAACTGCTTTTGTAGTAGCAGAAAAGTGGAAAAATGGATTACAATAAAATGTTCATCCTGCCTTTGAGGTAGCAGAAACGTAGAAAAGTCGAAAAATGCATGTTACAAAGACGTTCTCTATACTCTTTTGCGTGCCGCGTCCGTGATAGTGGGCCAGTTCGTTTCACGCAGATCTGGATCGCGATCAGTGATTTGTTGCTAGTTCGCTGACACCTAATGAATAGCGCCAACTGATCCAGATGGTGAAAACAAACATGCCCTGTGTTTGCCGCAAAATATTCGCCGAGACGATCAGTGTACATTTTCCGTGTCTCGTTCTTGTCACAAAACTCGCCAATATTGCCGAAAGTGGCCATGGTGTATTTTAATGACACCATAAAGAATGTTGTTGACTCAGGTTAAGTCGAGTAACAAGAGCTTAATTTCTAAACTGACATGCATGTGTCCACATACGGACATGGGAGCGGCCATGATGTGAGTGATGCATGCTGGGATACGTATGCAACATTAGGGTGGGCGACTAGCTAGTACCCGATACTGCTACAAACGGTTTCGTTAATTTCACCATTTCGTTCTACAGTCATCGCCGTTCCACTCGTCGATTTCATCATTTTGTTCGGCGACTTAATCATTTTCATTCAGTAATGTTGCCATCCCATTCGGCAATTTCACTGTTTCAATTGGCAGTTTCACCGCTCACTCCTTACATGTCACCTTTCCATTCAACAACTTTGGTATTCTATTCACCCTTTTCACCATTTGATTCTGCTCTGCGTTATTCGTTTTGTATTTTCACTATTCGATTACGCCATTGTCTGATGCGGGGATTTCGCCATTTCATTCCATTTCACCATCCTTTTCTATCAATGTATGCATTGTTCATCGATTTTATCTTTCTCATCGAGGTGAGTCATAAATTGTCCGTGCAGTGATACACTCCTGGGATCAAATTAGGTCATGTGATTCACAGGAAATGGGTCATGTGACTAACACGAAATGAATC